AAAATAGAAAGTTCTGAAATTAAAGTTGTTAATTTACAGAAAAATACTCAGATTTAATATTAAAAACTTGAATCTTTTCTGAGATTGGAGATATTTAAGAGAAACAAATGTGCTGATGTTCCTTGATATAAAGAAGCACCAATTTTTTATATTTTATTTATATTATTTTTCTTTTAAATTTGTGGCGTTTTATTTCATACATTGATCATAAATGAACATGCTTTTTTCTTGCAATATTAGATCCCTCCCCCCGCTCAGTAATTCATTATTTTTGTAAAACTACAATGGCTGAAGCCCTTCTTCTTTGTGCGCACAGCTGATCACATTAACAGTAACACATGTGGAATCAAATGGACAGCAGTTTGAGAATAAGTAGAGCTTGTCAATAAAAACTACAAATGCTCTCTTTATCCATGATGCCTTGCTGTCCCTGCAGAAGCTTGAGGAGCAGATCTCTGAGCTCCCGGTGTGTTACGGTGTGGGTGCGGTGCTGTTGGACACAGAGCAGCTGAAGCTGGCGCTCACTCAGGAGGCTCGGCTGTGGAAGCGAGCCCTCGGCGACGCGCTGAACCGACGGGCGTCAGCTGATATGAACGACCTCTTCTCCTTTGTGGACGGGATGACGAGGCGCCTGCAGCGTCCAATCACAGACCTGGAGGACGTCCGAGAAACCATGGCAGCGCTCAGAGAGGTCAGCCAGCGTCTGATTGGCTGTCACACATCACATGCTCGCTGATTCGTTCATTCATTCATTCTCAATTAGAGAGACAAGGATTGATCTATTGACCGGAAAAGATTAACTCTTTAGTTTACATAATGATCAGTTCTTTGAATCTAATGTTCATTCATATGAATGTATTAAGTTCTACATACATCTACAAATATGAACATAATAATAACAACAACAGTATAAATAGGGCTGGACCATAACCCCCCCACCATAACTAGATAACGAGTTCATTTCATGTCTAGATAACAACAACAACAAATAAATAACCACATCATAAACCCTATTTTTGTGAAATCAGTTAAATTAAAGTGGTTTATTATTATTGCTTTATTTTAATATACTGTATAGTGTAAAAAATAATATTCACAAAAAATATTTGACATTGGACCAAAACTCAATATATGGTTTCATATTAATATTAGTCCATTGAGAGACCATAAATCATGTTAATTTACACATTTTAGAAGAAAAAAAAAGTGAATTGTTACCTAACTAATTATTCCTCTCTCACGCATTCATCGCCTCAGTGTTTATAATTCATGCATCTATCCTCACTCCTCCTCACTGTTTCCTGTTGGAGGTGCGGGAGGCGGAGGTGCGCGTGGACGCCACCATCGGCCCGGTGGAGGAATCCTTTGCGTTGCTCAACAAACACGATCTGCTCTTCACTGATGGGAACGCCGAGCGCGTGGACGGCCTCACGTACGCCTGGAGGAACCTTGCTGCCCTGGTGAGCTTCAGCCTCCTCGGTCACAACATTATCAAATGTTTATATGCATGGAATTGTATTTGAGCGCACTCCATGAACGATTGGACCGCTCTGTGAGAGGTGGAGCGATGTAAACGTGCTGTGGTTTCAGGTGGAGCAGAACCAGAACACTCTTGTGAGGATCCAGCCCAGCATGAAGGCTGATCTGCTGTCTGCCGTGCATAGCTTCCAGAGCCTCATGCAGAGCTTCTGCAGCGCGTACAGCCTCAGGTACACACCAGGGACATTTTCACATACATGATATATATTTGTATACTAACAGAGGAGTTAAACGTGTGTGTGTGTGTGTGTGTGTGTGTGTGTGTGTGTGTGTGTGTGTGTGTGTGTGTGTGTGTGTGTGTGTGTGTGTGTGTGTGTGTGTGTGTGTGTGTGTGTGTGTGTGTGTGTGTGTGTGTGTGTGTGTGTGGGGGTCCGGGGACAGAGGGTCTGACTCCGGCTGAAGCCAGCGATCGGCTGCAGGGTTTTCAGGCTGAGTTTGATCAGCTGTGGAGGAAATACACCACCTGCTCTGGAGGAGAGGAGCTGTTTGGACTGCCTGTTAAAGGTATACTGTGTAAAATTTGTCTGCATTCAGACCAGTGGCGTAGCCAGGAATTATTGTGTGGGTGGGCCTGGAGAAATGTAGGTGGGCCAGGGGGAGACTTATTAAGCGTGGGGTCTGAGCTGAAACTTCATTAATGATTTTAATGATTTTTTAATGCAATTGAACATCAGCATAAACTAGCAGTGAAAAAAAAACATAGGCACGGCGGCCTCAAAATGTGTGTTATACTGACATCCAC